AAGATATAAATTGCAATTTTCAAATATATATTTTATTTCAATATTGTTTTAACTTACAAAAAAAAAATCCTTAATTTTTTAGGTTCTAATCTTAAAGTTGATATTTAAAAAAATTATTAAATTTTCTTAAATGTATTAAATTAATGTAAAAAAATATACTTTTAAATTATTTTAAAAAATATATTAACGTAGGAACTGAAAAAAAAATATTACCATAATCCACTAGATGTTATTGATTTTTTATTGAGACATCCTTTTTTTCAATTTCATAATGTGTGTGATTCTTAAGATTGACTTGCGTAATTAATAACCTTATTTTTTTTAGTGTACTACCTTCATATTCAATATTTCAACTCAATTCCAGTCTTTCATACTGAAAAAAAGTAATAATAATTAAAAAAATAAAAAAAATAAAAAATCTATGTTCACCCAGTCCTCTATTTTTCTTTTTTTAATGGCAAAAATCATTATACTTAACATTTATAAGCAATGTTATTTAAGAACATCATACGAAGAAAAAAATAAGGTCATCACTAGATTGATGTGGGTCTTCGCAGTGATGCCTGATTTAAAGAAGTAATAGAGATTTAACTATTACAAATGATCCAATAAAAGTGCATGCAAATGATGTAATTTTGCAAGGATAGTTTAACTAGAAAGAAATAATGAAAAATTGAGACTTAAGAAGATGAAGTGGAGAAGCATTTTGAGAAGACTCCAGCGCCAAGCCACCCACCTGCATCTACATTTATCAAAGTCGTATGGAAGATGAGAATTGGTTTGTCATTGGAGCATTATATTATATTTTATATAAAAAAAAATTAGTGTCTCTGTGGGTCATGAACTATGCGGAAAGAAGTGACAAGTACCAATGAGTACTGTTGATATTTTAGTCAAAGAAAGAAAGTTTAGTGGATTAGCCTTCGAAGGTCAAAAGGCAATACTGAAACAATGAACTAATTAAACATAGCACTAACAAAAAAAAACCTAAAAGATTTGAGATATTTATTATTTTTTACCATTTATTTACTCATTTATGGAACAGTAGCATTTGTTGTAAATTACTAAAAAAATAAAAAATCTGAAGTGTTTACTGTTCATTTCCTCTCAGTTTAGACCCATGTTTACTATGAATATAAGACTATTGGTATTGTGCTGCTCTTTTCTTCGATGTCGACGGTTCTTACTTTTTTTGTGTTTCAATTGATTTGTTTTTGGTTGTTAGATTTGCTGATTGCTGCTGTCTTTTTTAACCAATAAATTGGTTGTTCAATTCTTCATTGCAAGTAGTTGATTTTTGAGAAATTTTATAATACACGAGGAATAGCTAGTGACGTATACGATAGTTACTTCTTGAATATACTTTGAGAAAAGAGATAGATACACAAAAGAGAAAAAAATAAAAAAAATTTAAGCAGACGTGGAAATATTCTTATCATTTTTTGTGGGTATAGATGTAATTTCTCTCTTTTTTATGTGTCTATCTCTCTTCTCAAAGTGAATCCAAATAGTAACTACTATACATGCCACTGAGTTATTTCTTTGTATATTATAAAATTTTTCGTTGGTTTTTTACCCTTTTTTTAGATTTAATTTCTTTTATGCCCTCATGTTATTAGGCTTATTACGTCATCACGTTTTGCTTATTCTCTTTTTCCCTATCTTTTATGCCTTTTTTTTTTTTTTGTAATTTTCTTCTTTTTTTTTCGGAGCATTAAATGCTTCTTCTTCGAAAGATATATCTGATTGTAAATGTGTGGGCCTTATTTTTTATATTATTGAAATCATTAAACAAATCGATTATTTCGTACATTTTTTGTTTCAGCCAATCAATTGTTTTGGATATTTTTTTCAATCGTTTGATCAAACTAACCATGCGCATGTGACGTTGTCTTTGCATTCTCTATTCTCCCTCCATTAAACGCTTTAGGTGCTCTTTGATGATAAGAAATAACATGAGAATGAAAATAAATTTTTTCGGTGATTTCATTAGTTTTGTAAATGTAGGTTTAAGTGAGAATGACAATGTGAAAAAAAAAAAAGAGCATTAGTTTTTTTTTTTAATTTTAAAAATATCCTTAACTTTTAATCAATATTACATTCATAACACTATAAATGTTCTCTTAACAATGCCTTCTTAGTCACCAAAGTTACAAACTCTCTCTCGCAGGTAGTGCTTTCCCCTTCCCTCTCTTATTTTTTTTCAGTGTTGAAACAAATCTAATTTGAAATTTTTTTTCTTATTCCCTTTAATCATAATTAGGTCTTTTGCTGAACAAGTAATCTTTGTCTCTCTTTCATTTTTATTTTTTCTTACTCAACAGCTAATCGTTCTCTTGTTGTGATATTATTTTTTCTTCTTCGTTGATAATTTCATATTTTTTATTGCTGTTAGATAAACGGGAAAGTGATATTTAGGATTTGTGATAGAGATAATTGATGTATGAGAGAAAGTATGAGGAAAGAATATGGCAATGAGAGGAATCGGGTGACGAAGGAAAGTTAGAAGGGAAGGCATACCCTTAAGTCCCACATATCCTTCTGGAAAAAAAGATTGAATTTATAACCTACACAACGCGAGCTGGTTAGATGTGTGGCGCAGAGGGCTCGTAGTACCCCTTTTTCTTTATCCAGACTGAAATTTTGCATTGAGAAAAATGTTTTATCCTTTGCATTCACGTACGTAGTTATATAAGGGTAGTCAAGCTCACTTTCCTTTGATGAGTTATGACATTAACAAACTGCTGAATTTGAATTTTTTTGATATCTAATTACTGCTAGTATTGTTCTGCTGTAGGATATTGCAAATAATTCGTTAGTTGATGATGATGTGATAAGTGATGCAGACCTTTCCGGCTTCATTCCAAAAATTCCTTCATCCCCCATCTATCTCCCTTTTAGAATCGGTAATCTCATGCCCTCCCTCGAAAGTTGCCTTTTTCACTGAGTCCTTGTTATGAATATGCATTTGCTCCTCGTGCTCATAAACTCAATAGTAGTGAAAATCTCGGGACTGGCACAAGAAATTTAATCTTGGAATGGGTTTGTTGTTGAAAATTTAAGCTTGGAAAAAAAATTATGTATAAAACAATTAGCTCATATAATATTTTTTTCTAAATTTTAATTGCTTTTATGATAAAATTTATTATGCTTGTTAAAGGATACAATGGTAAATATATGATATCATTTTGATTCTTATTTGTCTATACCAAACACAACAATAATTATTTCAGTGTTTTATTCCGATTCCTAATAGTAAGATATCAAACACAGTATTTTCATTCTCTTTTTTCATTTCGATTCCTGCATTCTCATTCTTATTGTTTTATTCCCGATTACTAAACATCATCTTAATGTAAATACGAGTACCTTCTTGAATAGTCATTAACAAACAAGTAAATTATAATGAACTTCATTCAAGCCGATTCAAAATGATATTGCGTTGAGATGTTTCTAAAATTATATATTTATTTTATTACTGTTTTATTTAAAAAAAATACAAAAAAAAAAAAATAAGTCGTGTTTTGTAACTTCAAAATTCATAAAAAAAAAAAAATTGGTTTATTGAAAAAAAAACTTATTTTAAAATCTATATGTAGATAAAAATAAATCATATTTTTCAATAATTAAATTATATTAAAAAATAAAAATTAATTTGATGAGATTTTTAATGAGAAAAGATAAATTGAAAATATCAATTTTAAAGAATAAATATTATGTTTTTGTAATTATAAAATTTATGAAAAACATAAATCAGAATAAATTAAATATAATTTTTTGATTAAAAATTATGATATTAGATATTTTTTTATTTATTTTTAATTTTATATATTTTAATTGATCAACGTCATAATATAGGCTACCAGACTAGAAAAAAAAATTATATATTTTATAATATGCAACGTCTATATAAGTTGGTCACGAAGACCTTAAATTTTTATAATTTTTTGATGTACAATGAAAAGTGGTGGAGTTTTCGCGAAAAGTGGTGCTAAAAAAAAAAAAAAAAAAAAAAAAAAAAGAAAGAAGAAGTGGATGTGTAACTGTTTAGTTACTGTCACTGCAGACTCATCCCCCTATTCATCGAATTTTCTCAGATTTCTTTATCCCTTTCTCGTTTGTGTGTTGCTGCTCTCCTATTCATGGAATTTCCTATGATTTTGTTTATTTCCTTTCCTTTCCCCGTCTGAACTTTCTCTGATTTGTTTTTTCTCCTCCTTTCCCCGTCTGTAAGTTGCTTTCGATTCAGCCCTGCCCCTATAATTAATTTCTATGTTGCCATTGATATAATTTGTTTATTTACCCTAACATATCCTCATCGTTTTCTTTGTTCTTTCAGCTGGGTTTCTCCTTTCAACACAACTGTCTCTTTGTTTCTTTGTTTTCTGCCCTTCAACCCAAATGTTGTCCATCTATATTGTTTTTTCCATTTGCTTTGTGCCCTTCAAACAGAATTTCTGATTCTTTTAATTCTTTCACACCTCCTCATTAAATGTTATTGTCGGATTTTTTGGGAACTCTCTTTTGCCTTCCGAATCCTTTCCGATGGCGTCATTTGCAGACCCACTTGGTACGTTTTGCGGCTCAAATTGTGTTATGGAGTGAGATTCTCTTGAAGTCTTCCTCATTTTATGCTGGGGTAGTTCTGCTATCCCTTCCGTGCTTCATCACAATCGTTTTCCACTTGGGTTTCGTTGGATTCGAACAAGATTTGTTTCATCATTGTTGCTGCCCCTCGCATCATTTTTCTCTGGGGTTGTTGCTGGTCAGGGACCCAGTCCTTCGTTCGTTCTTTTCGGGTTCATGTCTAACCAGATAACTATTTTTTCTTCCTATTGCCTAATCCGTTATTTTCACTCATGCCTTTGCATCCCTACTTATAATAAGCCTTTTATTTTTATTCCCTTTTTATTTATTTGTAGTTCTGCCTTTTTCCTTGGTTTTTTTTTTTTTTTTTGCTTTCTCTGTTGTGTCGTTTCCAGCTTCTTCTTCTCATGGAAATGGAGGTTCGTACCCTATCTTAATCTTTTCTTGCGTGCCGCACTATTCCCTTATATGACTAATTTATGTTGTGCTTCTTTGTGTTGTGCTTCCCCTCACACTATTGTTTGTTTATGATTGCTGTTCTCGGTGATACTCTTATTGTTTTTTTCCTTCCTTTTCTCTGATCTTTGTCTGCGTTTTTTTCCTCTATTTTGTAAATTTGCTTTTGGACCTTCGGGTTTGGAACTCATGCTTCATCTTTTTATTTCGACCCTTTCTCTTTCTATTATGATATTTGCGTTTCTTCTCTGTATGGTTTCATGTCTTCCTGTTCTGGTTTGGACATTTGCATTGCTTGTTTATTGTTTTGAAGAAACGTGGTTCTTTCAACAAATGTCTTCCTTCCTCTCTGTTCTTGCCTTCTTTTGGTGTTTGTTCTCAGTGGCCTCGCTTTCTTCCTGCTTTTTAATTTGGAATTGATGCGATGGTTGTTTTTTTTTTTTTTTTTTTTTTGCCCGTTTGAGATCACAGGTCTCTTTTTTTGTCTTGGTTCCCGTTGTAGGATTTGTCCAGGTGCACTTTCTTTTCTTTTTGCATCTTTGTTTTCCACTAACATTTTTTGTTGTTGGTTTCCTGAGTTGTGTCTTTTGTTTTTTGCTTGCTTTTCGGTTTTTGTTTCTCTGATTTGATTCATTTTCCCCTCCTATTGCCTATTGTTTGGTGCAGCAGGTTGATTTTTGAAAATAAAATTCTGTCTTGTGTTGCCTCTCCCCTGCTCATTCTGCTTCCTCAGTGAGGATAACAAGGTTTGGATTTTTGTTTGCACTTTCCCATATTGGCGTGTTGTCCTACAAAGTCTTTTTAGGTGTTGTGCTTCTGAACCAGTATCTTTCTTTTGAAATTGTGTAGGTTATTTTTCTCTCCATTCGTGTGTTCTGCTTCTGTTATTGGGACAAGTTAGTTTCTTTTCTTTCATATGTTTTTGTTGTTTGCCTTCTCTTCCTTAAATATGTGTTTGTATTTGTGTGTATAGCAATTGATCCTTTAAAATAAGTGTATAAAATAAGTCAGGAAAAAATAAGGCAAGAATATGGAAAGTCCTTGATTGCTTGCGTTTTTTTGGCTTTTCACTGTGGCTTCATTTTGTTGTGATATGGACAAGCACCAGTTCCTGAGTTAGGTGTTAGGCTTTCTGATTCCTGCCTTTTCTTTTGGTTTGGCCTTCCATGGAAAATGCGCAAGATTGCAAGGTTTTAAGTTCATGTGATCAAGGATTAGATTTATGTCAGATAGATCTACCCCTTCCACTGCTTATTAAATGTATAGATAGACTAATCAAATACATGTCTGGCAAAAAACATTTTATTATGTTGAATTAGTTTGATATAAACATATCAGATTTTTCAAAGAAAATGAATAAGGTGACTCGAACTTGCCACCTTCTTGCAACCTGGACTGAACCCATGGGTGTGGAGCTACAGCTCCCAACTGGCTGAGAGGATGATGCTCAGCAGAAACGGTTGCCACTTTAATTTACTTTCTAGGGGCTCTTTCTGCTATGTCTTAATTTTTTGATAAAGCCGATATAATAGCCCTTAGAGCTGCTGGTGTGACCCCTCTGTCACAGCTATAAACCATAAAAAAACATCTAGAAACTCAACATCTAGCAGTTTTGACAAGCTTACGGTTCATTAAAATGGAAAACGTCAAATATTTAAGGAATATTGATTGGACAAGATCATGTTTATATTCTTTGTCATTGCAGAGGAAAATGAATGGTAATGTCTTACATGGTTTCTTTGCAATGTTAATTATGAAACCTTTTTAAGCCTCTCTTATGGATGTTTCGTTTCATACAAGAGAAAGTTTTGGATGTCTCAGCTGTTTGTTTGGTGTTAGTCAATAATTTATCCAAATGATTTTGGTCATTTTAGGTACCAACACCATTCTAGAATGATTGATCACAAAAGTTCTTCTAGAGATGAGTAGTATAGGACTAACAGGTGCCAACTTTTCAATGCTGCACACCCTAAAATTTTCAGTCTCTTTGAAAACATATCTAGGCATCTCGTTCTTTATATAAGCAAAAGTTCGTTATCACATTATTTTGGGGATGCTGGATGCCTTCGATCTCATATATATATATACTAACGTACATGTACACTTGGAATTAATTAAATTTGTAGAGGTCGGATGCTGGATGTATGCAAGTGAAAGGCAGTTAGCACGATTAAGATTAGCATTCCTCAAAACAGTCCTTAGCCAGGACATCGGGGTTTTCAAGATGAATTTAACAGGTGAAAAAGTCATATCTGGAGTCACTAACCACATGAGCATCATACAAGAGGCAATTGGGGAGAAGGTACGTACATAAATATTCGATCAATTTCACTTTTACTGTCCTAAAAACAAAGCTATGGTGTTGATATAATTTCTTATTACTGATCGTTTCTGTGTGTGTGTGCAGCTGGGCCATTTCCTGTCGAGCTTTGCAACTTTCTTTTCTGTGTAGTTTGTTCATACATTAAAACAGATCATTCACTTTATCTAACAATTTAATCGATGTCTTTCAAAACTGTTTAGATTGTTGGTGATTAATTTGTTTGTTTGGTTTTTTATAAACTTTCTTAATGATTTTCTTAACTGATGTTTCTTATTGATAAGCTTAGGTCATTGACAAAGCTTAATATGGAGTTTAAATTCAGTGAAAGTAAAGAAATATGTTATTTTTGGTTTGTTTGAATGAAATCTTTGTATCAATTTTGGTTTTGGTGTAATGGGTTTATTTCTTTTTTATATACATTGAATGTGTAGATCATAGGAGCACTAAGGTGAGATCAAATAAAGCACCAATGCTTAATTTGACTTCAAGTCAGGTACCCATATTGGATATGATAGAATTGTTTGTTATTGTTAGTTGTTTCTTTTCTTTTCTTTTTTGTGTTACTGATGTTGTACTCAAATGGATATTTCTTGTTTTTGTAGGGTGTGAGTTACATATTTGAGTTTGAAACTTATGATGATCTGCAGGTTTGCAAAGAGTGTGTAGGTAAGTCTTGATTCTCAAGTATAGAGATGATGTTGATTTCAAGTTTCTCTGTGATGCATTTGCTATTGATTAAAGATTATTATTTATTATGGATTAATTAGCGATGATGTGTTTGGTATGTTATAAGCAGAACTATAATTTAATACAAAATGCACTGTATTTCTATTGTGATTGTTTGGTTATGTTTTAATATGTAATGAAAATGTAATGAATGGACATAAAAGTTAATGGTATTACAGTGATAAACACAATGGTGATTACATAGTTCCGGCAATACAATTTCATTACTTTATGGGCAACAATGCATAGGTGCCCTACCTTAATATGAATCCCTCTAAAGTTGGAGGATTAGGTGTCAAACTGCCATCGTTTTCAACTTAGCCTTCTTGATAAATAGTTTGAAGATGCATAATTGAGGTCAATAGTGTTTCAAGAATGGTTTGCAGTGTTCCAAGATGATTTGTAGGTTGTCAAATATGGAACTGGATCAATGGGTTGGGTTTCTATAGACATAAAGGAGATATTGGTTTGCAGAGTAGAAAAAAATCTCCTACATGGATTTTGCATGTGGAAATGGGGGGAACCATGTTTTCCTATCATAATTGGTGCATAAGGACCATTTCCCCCTTACTAAGCTCATGTTTGGATGTCTCTGAAGCAATACATACCATGTACCATACAACGCGCAAAACACATCTCTTCTTTGGTATTCCATCAAGCTCTCATTTGCCTTTATTATTGTCCTTTCTTCTTATTCAGCATATGGTATAAAATCCCTGATTTGGATATACATTTTATTATTTATCTTATAATTCCATAGCCCTTAATTTCAGCAGAAACAAAATAAGGTTGTATACAGTTTGGCTTGAACAAGAATTTTCTAAGGTTAATAGGGTTGAGAGCCTAAGACTCTATAGCTGATTGTTCTTCTTCACTCTTTATGGTACAACATCAATAACTACCATTATATGGAAGGAGAAAGCATGAGAGTTGTTTTTGAGCCACGGTTTGTGAAAAACAAGGTTGATCTGTTGTTGGCTAGCCACGTACATTCATATGAACGATAAGTGAGTTTCTTCCCACCTAAAAATTTGCTACTGGAATCTTTTGTGGAACAATTCATGCATTTGAAAAGATTTGGCATCAGAAGATAATAGTGGACTGAAGATTATTATTGTTTTCGGTGCTCTCACCTTAATTTTTTAAAATTATCTTTGGTATTGAAGGAGTGAATTTTTTTAGCATGCTATTGATAGGGTGTGTTTTTCTCTTTCCATAGTCTGATGCTTTCTAAATTGGTCACCAGTTAAGCAAATGATGTGAATTGTGGAGCCTCACAGGTTCATAATGTTTTATGGCATTTACCAAGTGAAGAACATACATCCAGTTGTGTTTTGCGAATTGTATATAAAACATTATGAAAATTGTCATCATGTGCTTTGTTAGCTTTAGGCAGCACTTATAGTCATCATGTGCTTTGTAGTGTTGTGTTGTTGTAGCATTTTAGATGTATGGAACCTTATGTTTCTTAATCTGCTTGGTTTTATGTTTACTTTGTTGGTAAGGATAATTTTTACTTACAAGGCAAAAAATAAAAAGCTTTCATTTGAGGTCAGGATGGTGATATGAAACTTGGCCAAGGTGTCTCGAAGCTTGAAGGAAGGCAATGGTTTTGAATGCAAGAGACACAAGGTTCCTGGTAGAGGGCCTTCACCATAGCATGGCTTTTTTGTCCAATTAGTTATATGAAAAACAAACGAGAGGTTTTTTATTCTTGGTTATAACCATGAATAGAATGAGCAGAATATTATGGTGAAGCATAGTATGGAAGCAAGATAGAGTTTAGATTTTGTCAATCATGTCTATAAATGTAAGGAACTTTTTCTCTTACTGATATATGGTTTGATAGGTTCATGTTACGTAGAGTGATTGTCCTGCTGCTGTGATAATTACATGCTTTTCCAACCCTCAGGCTATTTGCTTCACTGTATTGTCAAAGATGGAATTGATATATGCATCTTTTTCATGTTGGCCTGAACCGTCAAAAATATTTTGTAAGTGCTCCGTTACAACCTGATCGAAGAGGAAGGATGCAAAGACCTTGAGGTGCTGCCTAAAATCCTTTGGAGAATGTAGTAGAAAACACAAATTTTTTAAGTCTACTTTAGCGTCCCAAAACACAATCAGTCCAGAAGTGACCTCATAATATATGCTCTCTTTGACGATGACGATCCAGTAGATCCTCAAACTGCTGATCCATCTGAACAGCGACCCCCATTCGCTCAGGGAAAAAGTTGCGACTAGAACTGAATCACTAACTACAGAATTTCAGAGCTCCACATCAACCCATCCTGAAAATAATAATATTCCAATCTGAACTTGGAATGAAAGGAAATCTCAGGTCTGTTCATACGCTGATGTGCATACCTCAATGTTTTTACATTTGTTAGAAAAGAAGAAAACAGGAAAGCTTTGCATGGGTTGTTAGACCAGTTATAACCGTTTTTTTTTTTTTTTTAATTTCATGATAGCATACCTCTACAGCCAGGTGATTCTGTCCAAAACTCTACTGACGATGCTGACTCTAATGATAGCGACCAGCCTCTGTAGTCTTTGAAGAGATGAAGCTATCCTGCCAAGCCTCCAAAATCCAACTAAACAGCCTAAAAATACTTTGTGAGGGTTTACTTGCTTTGTATTGTTTGAATTTCCTCGCTTTGCTTGAAAAAAATTCATTGTTGTGCTTGAAAAATTTCTTTCGCACTTTTGGTTTCAAAAAAATTTAATGAAAAAGATATTAGCTGTTTAATAAGATTTCCCGTTAACTCGCCCCTTGAAACAATTTTTACATGATATTTGATCTCTCCTCATTTATTTTCAAAGAACACTAAGCCGATGTTTTCATGTTGACTTTCTATGTGCGTGGGACCTTAAATACGTGTGCTTTGGTGGCATAAATTTACCTGGATGGCAAACCATTCCTGTAGAAAACGTTTTGACTGTTCAGATTGCATCTCTAATATTTATAATTCTAATGTGATATGGTAAAAGAAGAATGCATACATCATATAAAAAAAATTTAACTCAATTGCCCATCATTGTTTATAATATTCTTCTTCTTGAAAAAAAAAAAAAGAAAAACGAAAACCTTTACTCATGCATTATTCTCCATTCTCCAATGAATAAACTCCGAAACCTTCATTACCTTGAAGCTAATATAATTTATTGATTAATTTATCTTCTTTCTCAACTATTAAAGTAATTATAGGACTATTATTATAGTTAATAATTATAATATATTATCATTATATTTTGCAAAAAAATAGCGAGTGCTTTTTTTTTTTTTTAACGTCCGGCTTCTTTTTTATTTTTCAGTTTCTATATTTGTTAGATTATTATTATATGGTCAAATATAGTATTTAGATCCTTATTTATTAGAAATATATTTTTTTGAATAATAAAATTATTTATAGTTAATAATTATAATGCATTATCATTATATTTTACAAAAAAATATCAAATAATTATTATAAAATAGTTATTTGTATTTTGATTGTGAATATTGTATTTATGCGGTGTTTTTTTGTTTTGTTTTTTAATGTCCGGCCTCTTATTTTTTCCTCTTTTTTTCAGTTTTTATATTGGCGGGACTATTATTACATGGTCAAATATATTATTTAGGTCCTTATTTATTAGAAATATATTTTGTTTAAATAATAAAATTATTTATAGTTAATAATTATAATATATTATCATTATATTTTACAAAAAATATCAAATAATTATTATAAAATAGTTATTTGTATTTTGATTGTGAATATTGTATTTATTATAAGATATAATTTTTTTTATTTTAAATTATAATATATTAATATATTATTTTATGAATTTGAATATCTATAAAAATTGATAAGTATTTTAGTAATATAATATATTTGATGATTATACCATAATTAAATTAATATTACATTGTATTAGTTAAATATTATTTAAATATATTGATATAATAATATAATATTTATTAATAAATGATTTTTTAAAATATCGGATAGCAATGTTCCCCTTCTATATAAATAATTTATTTATATATATTTTATCATGAAATTAGGTGTGAAAATATATAAAAAAAAAATCGTTATTTTTTTCATTTTACTTATAGTTTGACAATAATAGAATGTATACGATATTTTTTAAAATTTTAGTTTGAACATATATATCTAATTATATTATTTTTATTATTTAAAATTTATTTCTTCAATTGTTTGTTTCTTATTAAAATTTTCATCAAATTTTTTTTTGGGGGGGGGTGTTGAACCTAGCGTCGCCTTATGTTTTTTCTCCCTTCATATACGCACAGGCTGTATTTTTTTCCTCCTTTTAATGTGTATATATATATATATATATATATATATATATATATATATATACACATTAAAAGGAGGAAAAAAATACAGCCTGTGCGTATATGAAGGGAGAAAAAACATAAGGCAGCTGCTAGGTTCAACCCCCACCCCCCCCCCCCCCCCCCACATATATATATATATATATATATATATATATATATACTTTAAAATGCTAAAACACTAGTCAGTTTCACTATGCAATCATTGTTGCTTTCACTCTTTGATGAACGGTATTTTTCTCGGTTGCTCTTTTTTTTTTTCTCGGGGTTGCTTTGCTTGAGCTTTTAGAGAATTTTTTTCGTCTCTATTTTCTAATTTTTTTTTTTATTCGGTCATTAAAATTTTATTATATTTGATTTTTATCCTAATAATAAATATTAAAATTTTATTATATTTGATTTTTATCCTTACAATAAATATTTTTTTCTTAACTTTTACTAAAAATTTATTTTTTTTTGTTATATTTTGTGAGATGTTTTTATTTTAGTCATTAAATTTTTATTATGTTTGATTTTTATCCTTATTATACTAAAACTAAATAAAATTTACTATCCTAAACTTTTTTTGTATTATTCACTCCTTTTTTTCTTTTTTCTTTTTTTATCCTCACAATATACTATTCACTCTTAGGTGTTTTTTTTTCTTTTTAAATTTTTACTCTTAGTTTTTTTCTTAGGTTTTTTTTGTAATTTTCAAACTCTTACTTTTTTTCCTTAGTTTTTTTTTTGTAATTTTTAAATTATTTCATTTTAATCCTTAAATTTTTAAAATAAAAATTTTAATCCCTAACCGATGCACTACATGCTTTTTCTTTTTTTTATTTAATTGGGTGTTAAAATTTTCAAAAATCAATCGTTATTTTTTTTCCATACAAATTGGCGATTATAGAATATATATAAATCAAATATATGTACTTTTAAAAAATAATCCTTTCACCAACATTAAATAAAAAAGATTTTATTTTTTTCATTGTTTAATTTTTATGCAAGTGTATACATTAATTGTAACTTTACATTTTGGATATATTCTTATAAAACAATATATTTTTAAAGCATTTGTTTTATATTCTTAATTAATATTTCAAGTTTAAATTATATATTAGAAGTTTTTATTCAGGAATCCCTAAATAAAGAAAAATAAATCATGTTTTCTTAAGCAAAAATTTTATGAAAAACACAAAAAATAGTAATAATTAATAAAAAATTATAAAATTTTGAAATGATTTTGTTCTATCTACTATAGCGTTATGTTGATAATTTCAAAAATTAATCTTCTCATCAGCATTAAATAAGATTTTTTTTTCATTTGTTAGTTTTTATAAAAGTTTATCTATTAATTATAACTTTATTTTTTGGAATACAATATTATGAAAAATATATTTTGAAAGTCTTTTTAATTCGATGAGAAGATTTGTTTTCATCCATAAAGAAGAATGGTTTGTGTTTTTTTAAGCAAAAGAATTTATAAAAAAAACATTAGAAAAAGTTAATTAAATAATAAATTATACTTAATTTTTTTAAAAAAAATTAAAATGAGTTGTTCTATCATATCCATAGCGTAGCGTGGACAATCGACTAGTTTTCATTTCTAAAAAAGCACAACCATATATATTTTATTTAAAAAAAAAAATTGTACGCTTTGAGGTATATTCTAGATCTTTTTGGGTGGTTTTGCATTGACGATATGGGGGGAAAAAAATTGCGACTTTATTTTGGCAAAATTTTCTAAAAAATAAAATTTTTAAATAGAAGAATCATCAAAGTGTAATTAGGTTCTTTTGAATTTGACCAGTTATTTCAAAATGAGTTACTCCTTGGTTTTCTCATGCAATGATATTTTTGTCCTTGTATTTAATGTGAACATCGAATTGCTGACAACTTTGCTGGCCGAAGTTAACGAAATTTTGTTAATTGAAATAAATTTAAAGAAATACTTGAGAAAAAATGAGCTTATAAGTTCAATAAGAAAGCAATTCTTAAGAGGACAACTTAAAATCAGAATTTATCGTTGCGGATTCAGCCTTTATCAATTTTACGTGCAACACTTGGTTCATTTTTTTCCTTAAACTAAACCAAGTTAGGTTTTTTTCTTTCCTCAAATTTAAGGGCAATATAAAACTCACTTGTCCATTAAGTTGAATCAAGTCAGCACTTCCATCGTAATAAATTGTTAAGGAAAAAAAACATCAGAGAAATATTAAGGAAAACTTATTGGATTACTCTAAAATACTTACAACTCTTACATTACACTTTTTTTTATGTTCCAATCACTACAATCAATTATATAGAATTCTCCTATCTAAATATTTGCATAAAGCATATCAAAACAATGAAGAACTCTTTAGAATTATTTAAGATATGTCTAAATTTTTTAAAACAGTTTAAAACTTTCTTTAATACTTCAAAAACTTTTAAAAGCTTCTGAATCTATTTAGCGTTCTCTATTAACCTTCAAAAACATCCATTGCTGTGCGGAACGTAACATTTTAATTACAAATAAATGTCTTATAAAATTTTTATACAAATTATGTGATAACTATTTTTTCCATACTTGACATCAATCATTTAATATCCATATTGCTTTATTTGTCTTTCGTATTTCTCTCTCAAGCATATAAAGATATAAGAAACTGATTTTCAATCCAGTTAGTGATTGTCATAAAAAAATTTCATATATTTTTTTTCTTGAAAAAAAAAGCCTAATTTAATTTTTATGTCCTTTTTCTCAAAAAAAAATCCCTTAATTAGATATAGGTAACTTTTTTAATCAATTAGTAATTATTTGTGCTGCAGAAAGATAACTCTACAATACGAGTATAAGTAATTATCAATATTTAAAAAAAATTGAGTATAAATAAAAATATTTTTATTATTTTGATGGATCCAAATGCAATTATTATTATTTTTTATGTATAACTGTTAAAAATTAGTTTCATAAAATAACTACCATAAACTATTCATGAAATATTTTAAAATTTCTCTTACATGCCATCGTAGTCCAACACGACTTAACTTCGACCTCTACGCTGCAATAACAGCGTTAGTTGGAAGGCCCTTAAGGTCCTATAAGAGAGGCCATGTGGAATGACATATTTTATTTTTATATAAACCTCAGTTTAGTCCCTAGATTACATATTTATTCTGAATTAAATACAAAATAATTACTTTTATCAATTTCATCCAGGTTTTTAAAAAAATTCTCAATCGGTATCTATGATAATTTTCATTAACTTTCCCATCAAATTGATCACATATTTTAGTTTTGTGAGAACCTCAATTTTGTCTTTAAATTATATATTCAGTCTCAATTAAATCTCAATCCATAAAGTTAACCAATTTGGTCCTAATTTCTTAAAAATTTCTCAAGAAAATCCCTCTGTTGATGTTCATCAACTTTCCATCAAAGTTTCTGCAAAATGACGTCTTTTTATTACATAAAATATGCACGTTTGGTGGAAAATGTGGGATCTAATTGATAAAATTTATCAGTTGAGACCTAATTGAAAATGGTATTAGATTAGGGACTAAATTGAGGTTTCCTTATATTTTTGTTTTAGGTGATTCTTTCTCCCTCATTTCATCATGCCTTCTAGCTACCTACTTCGTACATCTTAAGGTGGTTGTTTTCTTCTTTTTATGATTTAGGTATAATAATATAACTTATTCTGGTTTATTTGATTACTTGAACCATGAGTCCATGACCCAGCCAGTGGTTCTTTTGCCTGTTTCATACGCCAAAGAAATGTCCAAAAAATACATGTGCCCAGTTCTCTATCAGCCATTTCTCAGCGACTCAGCTGGTCCGCAACCAAATGTTCTGATTCCCACCATAACTTCTTACCTGCAGAAAAATTTCAACCAAACAGGAAAAAAAAAAACAAAAAAAAATTAGAACAACAACATATTTTTGACCAAATAAAAAAACAAAACCATTTTTTCAAAGTCCAAAGCATTGGTCCCCACCTCCCAACGAAAAACAAATGAAACCCGTACGTGTCGTAAATTCCACCAAACACGGAGCTGAGTTTGTTTACGAAGCCAACAAACGGGATGGTGCCTAAAATGGCAGCCAAAGCAAAACAACCTTCCCCTCTCTTTCTTAAAGGCCATGAATAAAATATTGTCCAGCAACTTAAATGTGTTGGTGGTGAAGGCAAAAAATTCAAGCAACCAAAAACTTTGCTTCTGAAATTTATATAATACAAACAAACACGAATTTGGGAATTTAGGAATTTTTTTCTTTGTCGTCATCATCATCTCTGTTGTTCTTTCTTTTGTTTGTATAAGCTATAAAGTAATCAACGAATTTAGGAAACTTCATCTAATTATATCTCATCTTCAAGTATTATTAATGCCAATAACCACAGCACTGATGATTATAACGTAGTACTTCCAGTCGATGGCTAGGACTGTAACGGCCTCCATATCCAACCGGAGGGGAACAACTGCCAGATCGGTAAAAATTGAAATCCGATTTAGTAGGTGAAAAATCGATGCTAGAAGCATATGACGTCGGAGGAGAGATTATCTTGAGCGATTTCGGGGGAAACAAAATAGCTCTAATCTTCGAACCAGGACAAGATCTATCATATTCTGAAATCAAGTTCGTCAATTCCTCGTCTGATTTTACTGAAACCAATGTCTCCAGATCTCCGTTCGGTAACTGACACTTTAATTCCACCGAATACCCAGAGAATTCACCTAGCTTCACCATCAACTCTGTAAAAAAGACAAAAAAAACGATCAATATTAAGCAAATAAATCAAAAAATTAACCTAACTTAACTATTGATTAATAACAATAACAATAACGAACCTGCATAGGATATAGAACGATTGACGGCAAGAACTCTGGTTACTCCACCGACGTAACGGAGAACGCCGTCACTGGAACGAGGAAGGATTTTACCGCTGTAACTACATAGAAACTTGAGAGTTTCTGTTTTTGACTTGGTTTTACTGTCACTCATAGTGGTCATAACCATGTTTTTTAATTTTATTTCCCAAGTGAAAGTGAAAAAGAAGAAGGTTGTTTGATTTTGAAATAGAGGGAGGTTTCCAGAGAAAAGGTGAGAGAGCGGAGAGGGGCTGCTTGGCTCTGCGTTTCAAACCTGAAGGAGACGAACTCGGAGGGTATAAATAGGAGGGTTTTGAGGTTTGTATGGGACCTACAAGGAAATTACGAGGTCTTAACCTCTTCTTTTTTTTTTGTGGGAAACAGAAAGGAAACCTGTTGGGTTAAGGATTCGAAACACCATGCATTGCCGTTTCGAAAAATCCAAATTATATTCGGATATTCGAAGGAAGGTAAGAGGGTCGGCTGTTGAAGAATTGGGGCTAGGTGGACCCTAGTTTCGGTGGAAGCGTTACGTGGTGTGGTCTCTCTGTTGGTACTAAAAGGCATGGACCTGCTTTGAAATTTATTTATTCTTTGCCTAATCATGTTTCTTTTTTGTGGGACACCTTTAATCATATTCTTGGTTGTTAATCATGGGATTTTCTTGAAGACCTTAAAAATTATTTTTGTGAACCATTGCGACTATTGAATTATGGTTCTATATTTATGGTGTTTGCCTTCAGATGCATACGTTGCTAAAATATGAAGTACAAATACATTGAGTATAACTATATTTATTAATTCGTGGCTTTTAAAAATGATTATTTATAAAACAATCAATAAATGCTGCCCGTTGCACTATTATCGCTCATTAATTATAAGTAATTAATTATTAGCAAGATTAATTCTACTAACATTTTTTTTAAGAAATAAAAAAGTGTGGTAAAAGGAATCTGTAAAATATTATCATAAAATTAAGATGATAATGCAATATTTAAAATTAGAAACTTAATACCACGAAAAAAAGAAGATCATTCTAAAAAAATCAATATGTTGTGAAATATTGAATGTTCATCATCATGTTCATTCACTTTTCATATATTCACTACTCATAATTCTTAATATGATTCAATTCATCATTCAATATGAGAAATTAAAGGATAATGCAATTGATTATTCATAGTACCTTCTAATTCTCTCTTTAATTTTGAAGCCTATAAATAGGTTTGATTGTTCATTAGTTGGTATACAAGTTTTCTAGAGAGAATAAGAGAAACTTTGAAGTTCTTATCACTTGTATCCATATTATAGTGATTTCATTTTCTTGTCATCCTTTCCTTCAATTCTCTTATTATTTTTATTTATTTTATAACACGTTATCGGCACGAATCTCTAACCAATCGAGATAATAGAACATGAGGTATGTATCTATCAAAACACTTACTCAATTGTTTCAAAATTTGGATTTCTTCTACATAAGTGCTCTACCGGAAGATCTAAATTATTTAGATCATTAAGAGGTATGTATCTAATTTATTTATGTACTTTAAATCTATTGATACATGAAATACATATTTGAAAAACTTAAATGATCTACTAATGATCTAATATATGTTATTTGAAAAGCTTTAATTTTATTATTATATTTGTTCTTATTTTCTAATATTATTATTATATATTGTATTATAGAATTTTTATCATATCAAACCTCATAAACTTGATTTGGTGACTCTTGATATTTTGAATAAGAATTATTGATTAGGAGTGCTCAATTTTCAAAAAATATTCTCTACTTTTTATGTCTTGGATATGCTCTTATAGTAGCATATCGAGAAAAAGAGTTTAAGAAATATTTTTGATCGATTTTATACTTGTTAGTAGCTAAATAAAATGAAAAGGAATAAATCTTATCCAATTGAGTATACTCCATTCTTTGAAGTGAATGTTATAATTTATAATAATTTTAGACATAGATGAATATGTGGTCATAGCCATGGATATAGTCGAAATAATTATCATTATAATCGTAATGACCATAATATTACATCTCACCATCGAAGTGGATAACTATAGAAAAAAAAAAAAGATAAAGTCAATATTCTGAAAAATAAATATTATAAATGTGGAATGAATAAATATTGATCGTGTACCTATCGTATACCAAAGCATTTTATTGAGGCTTGTCAAGCCTTATTGAAAAATAAAGAGTAAAATATGAAGGCAACTTTTATATATCAAAGTAATAGTAATTGAAATTAATTACTTGTTAGTTTTTCTATTTATAAATAAAATATTTTATATTTCTTATAATTTATGTCGTATATTGATGGTTACAAATTTATTTTATTATTTATTTATTTGTTTGTGTTTATGAGGAATATATTGATTTATTTATTTATATTGATTTATTTGATTATTTATTTTATGTTAATATTATATATGATAATATCAATCTAATAGAAAGCTCTAGAAGAGCGACTATATTATTATCTAAATAGATAAATTTTGAAGGCTCTAGAATAGTGATTATATCATGACTTAAAGAGAAAAAATTTTGAAGCTCTAAAATAGCGAATAAATTATTACTTGAAGAGAAAATGTTTAAAGGCTCTATAAGAGTCGATATATTATTACTTGAAGTGACTAATTTAAAGGCTTTAGAAGAGCAAATATGTTATTATCCGAAAGGATAAAATTATTATGAATGATGTACTATTCTCTTCAAAGTCTCATAGAAATCTGTTGAATTTCAAAGATATTCATCCGAATTGATATCATATCAAGATAGCAAATATGAATACTTATATGTTATAATCATTATATTGGGTAGAAAATATCTATAAAAAAATTTATCCATTTTCTCTTCTAGTCTTTATTACAATTATTAAAATGATTGAAAAAAATATTATAGTAAACCGAAGTTTACTAATTCAAATACTTTTACTATGTGACATAACCGAGTTGTGTTATCTTGGATCTTTCATGATGCGAAAAAATTATTAAAAAATTATATGAATATCTATTGAAGAGCCGGAAGATTCTTTAATTTAATGAGCTTTCATGTGCTTGCATATTGCCAAGGCAAATTGATGATTAAGCCATCATCAAGTAAAATTGAGATTGAATCTTCGGTATTTTAGAATGTATTTAAAATGATATATGTGGATCAATTCATCCACCATGTGAACCATTTAAATATTTTATGATTTTGATAAATGCATCCACGGGGTGCTCACATATATGCTTGATTATCTACTCGAAACTCGACGTTTTCGATATTGCTAGCAAATAATTTGATTTCGAGCATAATTTTCAAATTATGCCATTGAAACAAGTCACCTTGATAATGCTGATGAATTTATTTCTCAAGCATTAAATTATTATTGATCGGCTATTAAAATAAAGGTTGAACATCTTGTTGCTCATGTTCATACTCAAAAAGGTTTAGCAAAATCATTTATCAAAAGGCTCCAATTGATAGCTAAATCATTATTTAAAAATAAAACTTCATTTTTATGTTGAGGGACATGTAATCTTACATATAACAATACTTAATCGCATCGGACCCATAAGTTATCGAAATTCTCTCCTCTTCGATTGATTTATGGTCATGAGTCATGGCATTGCGAGTACATATCCGTAGTGCTCCTCCATAATGAAATAAAATGGGCACCTAAAAGAGATTGGGAATATATGTTGGATTTGAATCCTCTTTAATCTCTTGATTCATGAACAAGAAGTATTTTTACGGCTCGATTTATCGACTTGTCATTTCGATGAAACATTTTTTTCAACATTAGGGGAAAGAATAAGCAAAATAAGCGATTGAAAATGTTGAAAAAAAAATTATATGGAGTACTCTATCTTTATATCATATTGAATCTTGTACAAAACAATGTGAACTAGAAGTTTAAAAGATAATTCATTCATAAGGTATTACAAACCAAGCTGCTAGATACATTTTCAAATCCTAAATGAGTAACTAAAATGTATGTCCCCGTCGAGAATGCTTCTATTAGAATTGATGTCCTAGAAGGACAATTTATTAAAGTTATAGCTAACAAATTTAAAGCATAGAAGATCGATCGTTTCTAAAGATAAAAATCCCTAAAAGAAAAGGACAAGATGAAAATATAAAGGATGTAAAATATTCACAAAACGGTCCAAGATATTTCGATAATAGGCTTCCGAAGAAGTCAAATGCTTGAGAAAAATCAAGAGATTTTGATAAATTATGTCAATACGGGGAGAAATAGGACCGAAGAGAAATATTTATTGATAAGATTTTTGTATGTAAAGTTACAATTGATATTTTGAATGAAAATAAGGATCTTGAGCATAAATTATTGAAGAATATTGACATAAAGATGATTGACCTAAATTAAAAGAGCAATCCAAGTAGAATTACGTTATCTTATAAAAAGAGTAGTTTTTTTGAACCCATAGCTAAAACACTCGAAGATGTTAAGCTAGTGGGATACAAATAAGTATTTATGCAAACACGAAATAAGAAAGATGAGATTGTAAGATACAAAGAAAAATTTTTAACACAAGAATTTTTACAAAGAAGCTGACATTAACTATGAGGAGACATATTCTCCTACAATGAATGCAATTATATTTTATTATCTCATTAGCTCGACAAAATATATGAAAAATATTCATATGCATGTATTTAATAAATGTGATAATAATTTATTTGTTCATTTGAGATGAATCGGGATGAAAGTCCTAGAAGAACTTAACATGCCGAAGCATGTAATATATATTCTCAATATAAGAATTCAATTAAATAATAGAGATCTCTATTAGGATTATTTTAGTATTTGTTTTATTATTTTAATTTTTAGAAATTCAATTTATATTATACTTGTTTATATTTTATTTTTATATATACTTGTTTATTACTAACCTATGTGCATGTGATATAATTACTTCAATGATTATTGAAAGAAAGTTATAAAAAAATAACCCTATTTGTTCATATATTTTTATTTGAAAAGGGGTTTGTTGTATATGTTGATAACTTAAATATTATTGGAACTCCCGAAGAGATTTCCAAGTGTCATAAGTTACCTAAAAAGAGAATTTGATATGAATATCTTGGGAAAATAAAATGTTATCTCGACTTGTAGTTCGAGCACTCAA